AAGAGAGTGGCTTCAGTAACGGCACAGCTTGTGTGTGTGTGTGTTTGTGTTTCAATCTGGTTACTTTCTTCTCCACATCTCCAGCCATCATTCTAATATCGCCGTCTTAAAGTGGAGACTCGGAGCTGCTTTTGGTTTTGTCCTGTTTCTTAGTAGTTTAAACCCTGGAGACTCGGAGCTGCTTTTGGTTTTGCCCTTTTTCTTAGTAGTTTAAACCCACCCCCCCATAATCCAGCAGATCAATCTTCCAATCCATGTTTCCATCAGTCCCACCGTAGCTTCTGGATCCTTTCTTAAGAGTCTGAGAAAGCAGGCCAGATGTGAAAACTTTGACTTTGGTTATGTCAGAGAATGTCCTTGTAAGTGTGTGTGTGTGCGGGAGGGAGAGAAAAGAACAGAGGAGCTGGAGAACAAGCCTCTGTAATATGTAGTCCATGTGTGCCCCGCATGTGTGTGTGTGTGTGTGTGTGTGGGAGGGAGTTAGTAATCCAACGCGGAGAACATCTGGATATGTTTTTCCTGGTGAGCTGTGGTCGCTGCCACTGCCTGCCTGTGTGTTTTAGTATTTTACTGGTTCATTGTGTCAGGCCTTTGTACATTCTCGCTCTTCTTTGTTTTGTTTTGTTTTTTTTTTTTTTTTCTTCTTCTCTTCCCCGTCCTCAAACATTCTCTTTAATCTGACTGATTCATCAAATCAAGATGATGCCCAGACGCTCATAAACAAAGTTCCTGTGATGTCCCGTAACATCAGACTGCAGGCTCCACCACGTTACCGTTTCACCGTGTCAACCATCTGCAGACAAATGACTCCGTCGGCCCTGGTCTGTTTTGTCATATTTTTAGTTCAGTCGAAGCTTAAACGAACTAGTAATAAGGTCGGAGTATTTTTCTTTTCCTCAGTGTTTTGATCAGAGAATTAACTCCAGGTCAAAGGATTACGATCCAGTTCCTTCCAAATTCAGCTTTTTGGAAAAGACGATGTAGCTAAATCAAAACCTGTTGGAAGTAACTATGGTCAAAATGAATAACTCTGCTGTGGTTACGCTCTGATGCTTTTTTTTTAAACTAAAGTTTAAAAGACTTTTTAAAAAAGCCTGATAATAATCTAATATAACAAATCTCAAAGTTTGACTTAAGTGTCAAAGCTGTTCCCCGGGAGACGTGTCTGAACATGTTTTATTTATTAAGATCAGACACCTTTAAAAAGACGTCTGTGTTGGAAGTTTCACCTACTCGTCGAGACATTCAAAAACAAACCTACAGGCTGGACTGTATAGGATTTTCCAGTGAGTCACTACCCAGTCAGACAGGGGTGTAAAGATGCTCAGCGAGAGCCGACGAACACATCACTCCGCCAAACCGCAGCGCTTTGTCAGGAGGGTAAATATTTTTTTTATTTCAAAGTCGGAAAATCAAATCATATCATGAACTCACCGTTTGTCATAGTTTGTCTTCGTTTTGCCTGGAGCGCTGGTTCGCACGATGGCCCTGGAGGCATGACGATATTGCAGGTCGAATCATCTACCGTACTTTCCGGACTATAAGTCGCACTTTTTTTTTTTTTATCTTTTGGCTGGGTTTGCGACTTATACTCAGGTGCGACTTATCAGAAAAAGATTAACACAACCGAATTAAGAGTAAGGCTATAAATAGGAAGTGGAATTTCATTCATCCGAATCGGAGTCGTGATTGCGTAATGGCGTGTTTGTCGCTGGCCAACTGCTTTTTCGTCAATGCGAAAAGTCAGTAGCAAGAAAATCAGTAGCTACTTTTCCACTTCTTCTAATGTCTGAGATCTTTGCTTGGTGATCACAGTCACTCCTTTGTCAACCTTAGCTTTTTTTCATTGTTCTTAATGATGGTACAAATCGACGACTTTGCTAAGCCATACCGTAAAACACGATAAATGAACCACGAGCGTAATTCTCGTGCTTTTGTGTAATCTTTCTTCACTTCCATTGTTCTCATTATTTTCTTTTCTTTTTTTGTTCCATGGTGATTTAAGGAATAAGAAAAACTAAAAGAAGGCCAAGAAATACCAGCAAAATCAGACAACAGTTCTTAGCGTGTATTTCCCGAGCTGCCCATGTGATATTGTTGGCTTGTTCAGCAACCAGGTTATGGTACAACAACCGGAGGTTAAGATGTTGTTTGTGAACCGAATTGTTCAAAAGGGAGGCATTCGTTTGTTATTTTCACACTGACGGCCACTAGAGGGGAATCTAGGCTTGTGTACCAGTATCTGCTACTCCTGTACCACTGAAAATGTACGTTTGTAATTTTCACACTGACGGCCACTAGAGGGCACTCTAGGGCTCTGCAGAAAAAGTTTAAGAACCACTGACCTAGAGTAATAATGCGAGACAGCGGTGATACATGTTGAAAGTTTTTGTTCGTTAAAGATGTTACGAACATCAAAAAAAAAGAAAGTTTTTGTTCGTTAAAGATGTTACAAACATAAAAAAAATGATCAGTAATAAACTTAACCATATTTTTTTTTTTTCGTCAGAAGCTTAGATGTATTAAATACATTAACCATTTTTCATCCCACTTTCCTACCACAGGCAGGCAGATATTACTCAATCTGAATATCTTTGATGTTGCTGTTGGAATAACTGTCAGGAGTTAAGAAAGCCAATTGGTTTGGGTTGACGTTGTTGTTCTGCGTCTGCACAAATCTGCTGTGGAGAAAATAGTTTTGTTCTCTCTCTGTCTTCTCTCCTCTGATCACTTATGGATTTTGGCGACGCTCCTCTGTGCCTCATTTCCTGCTTCACCTCCTCTTCCTCTTACTCCTTACTCATCGCCTCCCCCTCAGAAATTGAACCCTGTTTTTCTGCTCTGGCTGGAGTTCGGTTCACTGCTCCTCCGTCCCACGCGTTGGCTTTTGCTCCGGACCCATCTTTTCCATTTAAATATAATGGGAGTGAATGGATGGAGAGATTTAAGGATTGAAATGTCGTTAGACAATTCATTTTTAAGAAGTGAAATCACACTAGAAACATGTTCAAACGTAGTCGTTCTTTGTCCTAACTGTGGTGCTGTTAGGTTTCCAACCTTTTTTGAGCCATTGCACACCATCGAACAATGTTACGAAGTACGATGACTTCCTAGTTTACAGTGGTCCCTCGTTTATCGCGGTAGATTGGTTCCAAGGCCTGCCACGAGCAGTAAAATGATGATGAGGAAGGTGATGATGACTTTTACTGCTGATTATACGTCTCTCCAGTGGGTGGTGCCATTTCTTGGTGCACCTCTTCCACAGTTTCTGAAGGTGTATCCGTAGTCGTAGCAGGAACCGGCTCTTTTTTGTGAGGCAGTTTTTTCCGCTGCTTCTTTTTCCAGTCGAAGAGTAGCTTGGAGGCAGTCACGACATCGTCGATTTTGTTGCCAAATCGAACAATATAGTCGTCCAATTCCTGTGACATCTCTTGCAGATCCAAATCTGGGATACAGTATATTTTATATATACAGTTTCAAAAACCCGCAAAGTCGTGAATCTGCGAAAGATGAACCGCGAAATAGCAAGGGACTACTCTACTTACAATTTACAGTGGGGCTTCAAGATACGAGTTCCCCAAAATATGAGTTTTCCAAGTTACGAGTAAGCAACTATTGCAAGATTTCCTTCGTGATACGAGGAAACATTCAGTTACGAGTGCTCAACTCAGCTCAGTTTTTTGTCGCGCTGTCTCGCTCACTGTCCCTCGCTGGGTTGTTTACCCTTTGCTTTATTACTCTTACCCTCTCTCTCTCTCCCTCTGTCTCTCTTTCTCTCTTTCCATCATCTAAATCGAGTCCTCACTCCCAGTCCTTCTCCTACCATGGTGGCCCGTCACTCGGTTGTGCTGTCTCGCTCACTGTCCCTTGCTGGGTATTTTACCAATTTTTATAACAATAATATGAAATGTTTTCCTTATTATTATTATTTTATATTATCAATATATTTGGGTTTTTTTCTATGTTTTTGATGTTTAGATGGGGGGATTTTAATTTAATTAATTAATAGTTATTAATTAATTAATTAATTTCAATTAATTAATAGTATATTTCTGGGGACTGGAACGAATGACTTGGTTTTTAGTTAATTTTAATGGGGAAAATGCGATCTAGATACGAGTGGATCGACACGCGAGTGCTGTGGTGGAACGGATTGTTTAGTCGAACACAACACTGTTATACTCTCAGGAATTGAAGAAAGTCCCAGACAATGATCTCTTTGAGTCGCTCTCTCTCTGTTTTTTTCTTCATTGCCATCTGCTCCCACCTAGTGGAGTATTTGTCGTTCTGCCTGCCACTTTTGCGTAGACAAAAGAAAACAAATTATTAGCAGTAAATAATCAATAGTTCTTTCCACTTTAGACCTGATGATCTCACAGCACACAATTAGTAGTTTGCGAATCAAAGGCTTGGACAGATACCTCACCCCACTGATTTGGAAAATGACCCCCCGACCCCAACTAAAGTGCTATATTAATAAATCTGTTAAGGAAAAATCTGAAAAATTGAATGTGTACAGTTTGATTTCCTTTGTTGGAAATATGGTTTTCTATGGTGATTTAAGTAAAAACCTAGACCAGGTTGAGTGACCACTAAGCGGCTAAGGTTAAGGCGTAGTAAAAATCGAAGTCTGGTCGTTTCTTGTTATTTAGTGAGCGAATAATGTAGAGTTGACCATAGGTTTAGTTGCACTAAGACACGTCCAACCTCCCAGTTACTGCTCCACGGTGAGCAGTTCACACAGTTGTGCTGCCAAGGCTTGAAGAAGAAATGCAAATAAAACCGGCTCACACACGCTGGAGGTGTGTA